TATCGATTGTTTGTCCTGCAAGTACGTTTACGCATGTGTGTGTGTGTGCACGTTTGCCCCCCTCCACTGATACCAATGAATCATGCGCGATCAACGCTTCGGTTACTACCGCCCTCTGTAGCATGATGCTGCAATGGAATTCATGATCTACATCTCAAGCGGTTGCACTCGGGACACCAATCGACCATGCTCGATCGATATACGCATCAGCATTGATCAGATTTACATCCAGTTTGTTCGACACTTTCAGGTTATATTCCATCTCTGTGATACCACTACAGAAGCACCTTGAAAACATGAACTATCAAAATGACCATTTTGGCCATATATCCTGAACGGAATGAGATATTTCTAGCAGACCAACTGCAATACGAATAACGTAACGAGGGGTGTCGAAATATGCCATACATTGCATGATAGTTACGGAATTTTACAAGCAAATTCAAGTTAAAAAATTGGAATGTTTTCAAAAATGTACTTTTTTGAGTATGGACTCTGAATAATCTTTATCGCTGAAATGATATAATCTTGCTTTAATACTTACACCACACAACGTAAAACGGGGTGAATTGAGGTTAACGTATGACATTCACAAGTAGTAAATGTAAACAGTCTTCGAACAATCGTATTGCCATTGTCCCATTTCTCGATTCAGTTTCACGATGGGAACACTACCATGGTCGTTCTTAAAATAGTTATTACCGAATCCACCTCCAATCAGAAATCGTGAAAATGTTCGATAACTCAGTAGGTATTAGGTGATAAGAACACCTTTCGGTTATCATAGCTGAACCACAACGCAGTATTTTAGAGTGCTTGCAGCCAACCCAGGGGAAACGATGGAGGCACAGTATCAGATGATGGATATCACACATCGTTAAACAAAGGGTGAAACAATCTATGCCGCTAACATGATATTAACTAGGCTCGTGGAACTGAAAACGAGGAAGACATTTTTCGGCGCAACGTTTTAGGAAGCAGGTCCATCCGAGTACTACAAGGTAACTGCATGGTGGTCATCCACACATCGCTGGCAGGCTTGTTAGCACGGATGAGTTCAACGAGGCAGCTTCAAATGATGCTAATACAACTTGAAATTATACCTGGACATCTTGTTACCGTACTCGGACATCTTGAAATGATCCTAGGATAACTTGAATTGCAAAATGTATAGAGATTATCAACGATTTAAATTGGGTGGCAAATCATATGCAGTGGAATGCTAGTCCACAAGCACCAGGAAGTGTCTATTCTTGTTTTACTATGAACTTCGAAATAATCTTCTGCGGATGAAACACAGTGAAAACACCGTAAATTAACTGTAAGTTTTGTCCTTCTTTTGTGAGGTACTACTCACGTTTGCGAGTAGTTCGTAAAAGGACGCGATTGGTGGTTTCTTTAAGCGGTCAAAAATGAACAACACCTCTTAGAGTGCATTGCTGTTTTTGAAGTGATAACTATGGTCTGTCCCATTCATTATCCTGTGGTCTTCCGAAATTGTGATGACATGATCAAAATGAGATATCTTGTTATATGTACGCCAAATAATCCATAAACTAACTGTGGTTCGTAAGAAATAAATATCCCCGTCCAGACCCTGGTTTGCGGAATTATAACACTTCCAAATCCATAAGTTGAGCCAGTCTGACGCGTGCCAAACGAGTTTCTTTCTTTTGTAACCTAAGCTACCTTTAACTTGTCTGAACTGTTCTCATATAGCATCCCTCGAACTGCTCGAAAACGAATTGAAGATAGTCGGCTGTACGTTATCCATCATCCGTCCGAGTTTCCACAATTATGTTAAATGTCCATTTGTTTTGCCCTTGTTTGACTCATATCCGATTTTTGGTTTTACTTTCCTGATAGAGTTCTTTCGAACCCAACTCATCCCTAACATGCTGAACAGTCAAAGTATGGCTCACGTGCATCGATTGGATCAGTTTAGCTCATACAATCCTCATGTTGCTCTTTTAAAGAAGCCTAAAAAGGTCGTAACAGTTGTACAGCCTTGCAATTCATTGTTCTTTGCTATCTACACAGCGAAAATCATTATAAACTACAGAAAAGCTATTAAGCATTCCTTGGGACAGATTCTTGCAGATGAAGTATAAGGTTCTGAGGAAATTATCAACGAACCTTTGTCTTCAAAACTTTAATTTACACCACTTTTATTCTGGTTTGCTTGTGGCGCTTTACAGCTGAAAAGCTGTACGCGCTATGCATTTTTTGGATTCCCGTTTCGGTTAGTGAGGGGTGGGTCATCAACAAAGATTCCCTCAATTTTTGCAAAAAAGACTCATATAATCAGTATAAAACTGACAATAGATGTTCCCCAAGCATGTAATTTTTATAATACCAACTTAATTGATTCGGTAAAGGTCTCCCTAGAAGGTTAAGAGGCTCTCACTCAGCTGATTTGTTTCCAATTGCTGGTCGTTATTAATCCAAACCCAATACCGCAAATACGGCCTGTATATAAGAAGGAAATGTTGTGGAACAAAAATTAGCTCACCTTCCACGTGGCTTCATTTTGCCTGAAGTAAGCAAATTCCCGCTGCAGCCAAACGTAGATGGCGCTCAGTGATAATTGTTTTCCGGGTGATTCGAGAATTGCCTGGCGTATTAGAGTTGCATAGGTGAATCGTGGTCTAGCAGAGTGGGATCGGTAGAACTGGCGATGGGTGATTGAGTTGTTCAGCGAAGAAGGAGAAAGTTGGCAACCGTTTTCCAATTCCTGAGCCGTTACACTAGAACCAAACTTGGAGACATCTGTTCAACGGAATGAGGGTTCACAAAGCGGCATTAAAACAGACATGCAGGAGACACGTTTTCTGAATGTGCCTTTCCTTTTGCAGGTCTTTGTTGTACTGAATTAGCTTAGAATTGAAAATCGGTCCTCATAGTACGGATTGACCGGATTCATTTTCTATCTGTGGCAATTTGTTTGTCATCAGTCAAGATGACAAGAAGATATCACCTTGGCTGATGATGAAATGCTTGCAAATTGCCAAGCTTGGTGAATAGGCAAAGATGGATTCGCTTATTTGCAGGAGTTTAGGCATTCAATTCGATCGAAACCACATACAATCGGTGGTATGGAATGTGATAAACCATGTGACGCCTCAGTCTATGTCCATCACTAAAAGAACAATATGTAAAACATGTAAATATGTAAAACAATTGGCAGAGTTAATAGAGTATTGCATCAGGAACATGCACAGCGAGAAATGAATTAGTCAGAAGATAACGTATTGCATTCAAACTGAGTGAGCTTGAGTTCATCTAGCCACAGACGCCATCGGTCTATTTCCATCGAATTTACCAATTTATTTTAATGGCTATAATTAGGTGACCAGCCTTCCAATTTTATCCTCACATACATCAGACCTCACGTCCCGGTAGTTCATATCCACCGTATCATTCAGTTTTTGAACCTCGGATCCCTTTCACGAAAGGCATGTTGTAGCGCGATGCCAAACAGTTCAAATGCGATTCAGTTGCTGTTCAAACTAGTCACCCTGTCCGAGCAATTTTCTTTACTTTAATCTATAAGGTGATTCGGTAAGCCAGACAGCATTTTGATCCTTAGCAATGACAAGAATATCTCGTCCAGGGCTGGGGTTAACGGCAGTTTGGAGCTGAGGCCGAATTCTACTTGAAAGTGGGGTCAGGCGACAGCGCGGGGCCATATACGGCTATGAACAATGGGAATACCGGGTTGCCTAAGAAGCATGCCCAACGCGATCCTGGGGGAGATGTGTCTTCAGGAGATCAGGAGACTTTTAGCACAATGCTTGACAGTAAGAATTAACCCATACAGCCCGGAGTTGTCAGTCTGTTTACAGTGGTGTGGCCATATCCAGGCCATATTCATTTGAGGGTCGTTAACTCCTTGTATCTCAGATCCACGGGGTTGCACATTTGGTAGTTACGCCCAATCCAACTGGCTTTCTGTATCTGGGGCACTTCTGATGCTTCAACAGGGTCATAGAAACAGGCGAACCATCACTAGACGTCACGATGTTAGCCACAGAACAATAGCATTGAGCACAAAATGGACTGTCACCATCCCTCGATTATTCTCGTACATGATGGTAATCAAATATCAGGCCTTTAGAGATTTAAGTTCGAAGCCCACATCTCAGTAATTTCGATTACGCGATCAGAGACAGTTTGTTTCTGTGAGTATTTGCATCTCAGTCGAGAACGATACAGAGGAAATAATTATATCATAGATACAGAACAGAAAAACCCTGGATTCTACTGTGAGGTAGGATAACACGTGAACTCGCTATCTGGCCAAAATTGACAGCTGATTGGCACCAATCCAGCCTGCCAGCACAAACGATAGAATGATGTGCGCCAATCGACGTCTCACATCCGCAAGATAAATTTCCTAGTGTTTGACTGACTACAAACAACGCGCTATCCTACTGTTTGACAAGTACGGGACATTTGTGCGGAATGCTTCCTCGAAAGTAATCAGGCTAGGAAGAGAATACCACAATGCACAGAACCCGACTGTTACTAAGTTTTCATCATTCACACAAACTGTAGTTTTTATTAGACAAGTCCAAGATAGATGCACGCTCACTCACAAGCACACACACAAAATACGAGTGCAATGATGCTGAATAGAAAGAAAAAAGAAGTTGTAAATGAATGAATAATAAAAGCGAGCCGAACGTAGCGGTCGCCACAATATGTCCGAACCATCAATCTTCATTTAGTTCCAATCTTTCTCAAAAGGGAACGGTTAAAGTTTAAACGGTGAGAATGAAGTAAAACCAACTAACAGAAACTGGTGACCCCTGGAGAGAATTGTATAAAACCGTATAGAAAGATAATACATGGTACTCGAGCAATAAAGAGACAACCACAAAGTAGGTTAAAACAAGATTTTACGGGATACGTTAAATGGTTGCTACCGAGTGATTCAACATTGAGGAATGGAACTGACGGATTTGGTGATGCATGTCGTTAATTAGATTGCCACGATGCGTGCTGTTTACCCAGGCAAATGATGGCTGAAAAATTAAGGGTGGTCAAACTAAGATCTGACACGAGGGCAAGAAAATACTGACTAGGAGACTTACCCACATAGGTTGGGTTAGACTTCCTGAATGGGGACATCGGAATCAATGGTTGGAGGCATTAAGTGCTATGATTAAGTGCCGTAAACAGTGGCGCTCGTGCATCTCAATTTCTTTGGAACCTTAACCTCCATGAATTCGTTATTTTCTTTCTCACACTGATTTGAAAATTCCAATCTTCCCTGTACTCCTTCATCCAAATGCGCAGCCAAAAAAGACAGTGACCAAAACAGGTGCACGAAAGTGCATGGTTAATGATTTGTACAAACTGAACTGAACTGAACATGTAAGGAAAGCTTTATTACTGGAAAAGACAGACCAGAGCTAATTATCCCAATGGAACTAGAGTAGCGAGAAATTTAGGTAGAAATTTGGGTTTCAGTGATTAACGACGGTATTTCAGCATCATGTAACACGGAGATATTCAAAATATAAGTAATATTTTGTACAAGAAGATGTATATGACAACTAGTCATCGCCTAAAAATAGACCGCAGTGCATGAAGGGATTTTGAGAGTAGTTCATCATTGGTCATTTCTCAGGCGGAATTGATTACTTGACGAGCGCAGGGTGGTTAGCTAATAGTTTCCCAGGCTGATGGATTAGAGCGAGAAAATCAGTGGTAGGAAATCTTTGTTTTTGATGTAAAATAGCAAAGTTAGGTTTTGCATACTGTATTGACCATATAGGTTCGATTTCTTTCCCACCCTCCAATTAGGCTCAATCCGTCTCCATCTTGTACTTATCACTTAATTTGTGTATATTGTGAGCATAGCAACGATCAGTGAATTTCACTTCACCGTATCTCGCTGTTCGAGTATTATTATTATTATAGTTTATATTATATTGTCATTAGTTTACAACACATCATTTCATTCATCGAGAAGAAATGTTTTGTCATCAATAAGTTGGGTAGTTAGTCATCCGGAATTGAATCTCTTTTTGGCTCAGTGCTTCAGAGTTGCACTGGGTAGCTGTGATTAATGAATGCAATTAACACAAAGCGCATTTTTCCGACTTGAATATTACTACTCCCTGTAATTCCCTCCGTCTCTCCGCCTAAACACTAATCTAAATTACGCGTTTGCCTCACTATTGCTTGTAATTATTGGTGGTGAATAGAGTGTGTTTCAAATCAGTAATCTATATTACGCGATAGGTTTTCAGATATTTTGATCCAGACCCCCTTCAAGTTATCATGAGTAGTTTAATCAGTCATCCACCCTCACCTACACAAGAAACTCACTTTTACTGGATCCTGTTGTTGTACTGTCTTTTTTGAGTTTTGCCGGAGTCGAACCGGACTCGGTTATGTCTGTCGCGGAACCGGGATATGCTTGTATTGGGACCGAATTCAACGGATCTGTTTTCACATCTGTTCGACGGGACTGTCGACTTTTCTCCGTGATCGTACTGACCATGGTATCCGTGCCCATGCTTTCTGTGGCCGAACTGATGGCGGCTGCAGTGACAGCCGTGTTCACAGAGGTCAAATTGTGCAAATGGAACCCGAGGTCGGCCTGAGTACACCCGGGTAACGAGGTCGAAATTCGGGATAACCAGGAAATCGGAGGTGGCTGAGTAGAAAGACCGTTTGATAGGATGCAGTCGGGTGAGGATATAGGTGTTGGGATCGATCCGGAC